CTCACCTTCAAACATCTTGGCTTTCCCATGACCCGCCTTCTGCAACCCACGGAAAAGCTTGTATCCCGCGTCAGGGCTGGCCAGGAGCAGGCGGAAACCCTGACCAAGAGATTAGAAACCATTTCCCCATCTTGTACAATTTACCTGGATTTCTTGCTCTGCTTACGGTGGGAAGTTCTAATTTACTATCCACTAAATTGCACATATGCTTCTGTTGCGGGATCACTGCGTTGTGCACTCTTTACTAAGACAGCAGGACTACTGCAGTCCCATTAAGGAAATGGGAGTGCTAACCTTTGTACCAAAAGTCATGTGTACTGCACCACAGCAGATCAAGACTGGAGATCTACGCCCTGCTGGTGCTGACTCAGTGAAACCTGGCAATTTCACAAAACTATCGAAACACGTGATGCCCAGTTCATTTTTGTATAAATAATGTGTATAGTACACACTGTTTAATCATAACAACCTGTGTTTTCATCTGTGAAATGCAGGCAATTTGACTTGCCTGAACTTTGTTCCGATGAGCAAATCTGATGAGATTTCTCATAATGTTAACCAACTTTCACTTCCAGTCCCCCCTTCCTTGACCATGTGTCAGTCTCTGTCCATCCCTCCCTGGGTTTTTTCTGGTTTATGTACCTTTCTGTCAGGAGCGGGGACAAAGGTCATGAACTCATCCACGTGCCCAACATACAGCCAATCGGAAAAGAGCGCCACAGGCGACTGGACCTTCTGAGCCCACAGGAAGTCCTGGACGACTTTCGTCATGTTGCGGCCTTGGCTTGCCCTGAAAAACACAACCCAGGTGTCACGATCGTCATCCCTCCTCTTAAGGGTGCTCCAACCCTTTCGGATTTTAGTTTATTACTTGCACCTGCCCCCTGTTTCGCCTGTTATTTAAACCAGGTGCTCCCACTATTCCGTGCTCGGCATTGGGAGATGGACGCCCGGAAGCCCGCCTACCAGTGGGTCCAGGAGAGACCCGACGGCATCAACTTCACCACAGCGTCCTGACCATCTGAGTCCGGGGCTCGGAGCACCTGGCCTCGTCATCCTGTTTTTATATTCCCTGTTCCTGTTCCGGATTTTAACGTTGTCTGTCTTGGGATGGTTCTCCCGGCCTCTGGACCCTGGACTATGCCCCGAATTTCCTCCTTGGACTGTTTGGACTTGTTTGCCTGCAACACGCCCCCCCAGAGCACCGGATCACCGTCGTCACGCCCCCCTGTCTGTCCTCCTGTCCTGATCCTCATCGTGTTTTCCCTCTTGTCCTTCTCCGCTTACTTCCGGATTATACCGTCTGCATAGGGTCCTGAACTACGCTTCACAGGAGCCTGGACCGGCTCCCGTTACACCAGGCTGTAGCCACTCAGCGGAGTAACAGTGAGGGACGTTGTTTCAAGGTGCAGGTTCGTTTTTTTTTTCTTGGGGCCCCTGGCATTAACAAAGTGTTACTTTGACGGGCTGCTCCGGACATCTACAAGAATGGATTCTGGAGAAGCTGGAGTCTGTTTTTGTGCAGTGTTGAACAGAATACAGTTTTTAAAATGTATATAGCTTGACTTTCGCACATGCTCACAGGGCACTGACCAGCCTTTCTTTGTTTTTCTCTTATGTATTTTTTTTCAAATTCTTTGCACCCAATAGGCCAATAAACTATATTGTTTATGCTTACTGCTCAATGCTCAAAAAACAGGTCAACTGAATAGTCTTGAATCCCCAACATAACAAAACAAGCTAGACAAAGTTAACTGCTATTCACTTTTGATTGGTTTTACCATACTCTCTATACCAACAACCTGACATGTAAACTACTGTCTTTCAGACACTTCCTCTCATGGCACAGTAACAATAGCAGAACAGTTGCTTTCAATAGAACAGTTTCGTTCTTCCCCTGATATAACACTGCAAGATTGCATTTCGAGATGTCAACATGTTGAAGCAGGTTTTTTTTTTTAATAAGCGGTAAAATGATGCCTCACGGTCTGCAATGTGCCTTGAGTAATTGTTTAGGCGAGACAGGCTGATGACAGACCTGTCATTCAATTTAGAGCAAGGCCGCTTTGAGATCTGCTCAGAGTGGTAGAAGACAGAGACTCATGGAGAAGAACAGTGCGTTAGAGGTTTCAGTACAACTTTCCATGAAGATGACTGAATATACGAAATTGCTGCCTTGCAGTGCTGGGGCCCTGGGTTCAGTTCTGGACTTGGGCAGCTGTCTGCAAGGGTTTCCTCCAGGTGCTCCAGTTTCCTCCTACAGTCCACAGATATGCTGGAAGGTTAATTGGCTTCTGGGAAAACTGGCCCTGGTGTGAGTGTGTTTGTGTGTGCCCTGCGATGGACTGGTGTCCTGACTAGGTTGTATCCTGCCCCTTGCCCATTGCTTGCTGGGATTGGCTCCAGCTCCCCTGCGACCCTGAATTGGATAAAGCAGTTAGAAAATAGATGGGAGGAATATGCTAAACATTCTGTATTGTTATGTACATCTTATTGTACAGATAATGCACAAGTGCATGATCTGAGTGTTTCTGATGACTACATTCACTACAAGACAATAAAAGGGTTAAATGAAAAATTCTGAATGTCGGGAGGGAGATGCCGCAAAACTGAAGGAAAGTCCTGTGGTCATTATCGAGATCAACAGTGATGCAAGGGCCCAAGGACAGACACTTCAGGACTGAGAAGAAGAGGCACTTCTTTGTTATACAAAGGCTTGCAGGAATCTGGGACAAGCTGCCCAGTCACATTGTTGAAGTGGGTCCCCTGGGATCTTTTAAGCAAGTGCTACACTGGCTCTTGAAGATACTTAGAACCAAACGAGAAACATGGGCCCCATGGCCTCCCTCTCCTTCCTGATGTTCTAATGATAGTAGAGGGGTGGTAGGAGGCAGCACCCCTGTGATACTCACGTAGGAAAGGCACAGCCAATGATGATCCTGCCCAGGGGGTACACCTTCCCATTGACAGTGACAGGGGGACTGACCTCCAGGTTCCCAAAGGAGTCCAGGCTGCTCACTTTCTCATTCCAGGCCACTCGTGTCACGTACCCAAAGTCCGGTCCCTGCGGGGAAAAACAGGAAAGCTCGATCACTACAGCAGTGGGGATTGGGGGCAGCCCATTCTCCGCTGATAAAGGGTGTGAGTTAGATGGTGCTATGGCTCCAGTTGTATAACATGGTGAGACTGATGTATATAACAGCAAAATACATTTTGAGCACAGTCCTCTTAAACTGGGTGCTTGGGAATTTCACAAGCCAGGTGGCTCCTGTAATGGGGCAGGGAGTGTCTCAGCCATGTGCGTCTGCCCGAAGCTTGTGTGCTTTAGTGTTTATAGCACAGTACGTGGCTATAACAGGGGTACATTAACTGCTGCACACGGTGGGCAGTTCAAGTATGGGGGTACCAGCAGCTCCTCGTAGGGAAAGTCTTTGAGGTCGCCGTCCCGTGGGGAGTCCAGCACTACAGGGAAGCTGTGGTGGGGTGCCTGGATGTAGCCAAATTCCAGTTCATCCTGTACAAAAAACAGTTTGAAGATGTTACTGACCTGAGAGGCTTCTGACATACAGTACAGGGAAACTCAACAGCCAAAACTATTCCAGCCGTTCCACTGTTCTGTGATTCATACTGTAGTTTGCATTGTTTGGATCAATAAAACAGAATTACAGCACCTTGAAAGAATCATCATAGCACAGTTCGACTGCCTATGGATGCATTCAAATTATAGGGGAACTGCGGTCCCAATTTCTCAGATCGGTTATTAAATCTCAGTAACAAATTCATTGACAGTATAGAAAAATTTCACACATTTCGAATTTAGCACAAAATAGTGAACTGGGTAAAAGTACTGTATGTTGCCATGTTGTCGTAAACCCGTGGTCTCACCACGGGCTAGAGCAAGAGTGTGCGAGAATTGTGATTTGCGGTCGCCCTTCCTGCTCACTAGTCTCTGTAATGACCAATATATTGTGATATACGGGCGAATATGTAAAGGTTGTGCACCAGACGTTTCACCACAGAAATGTTCCAATGTGATTTGCATGCAGTAAACAGGTAAGTGTAGTAGTATTTGTCAGCAAAGCCATCTTGAAATCGAGAGCAATATTTCTATTGGATTAAAAGAGATGTATTCACAAGCCTGCTTGTTTACAATGTCATAGGGCCTTTTCATATCACTGGAAGTTTTGTTGTCTCTTTCTGAATTGCAGAACATGGAGCTGGGTATACCTGGAAATTGTCTGTTTTGTGAAGTAAATTGGAGGTTTTACAAATTACTGTGTACATTTTACTTATATTGTTGCTTAAAATGCACTCATTACTGCTGCTTCTTTCTAAACCCAAAATATAAAAATAATCCAGGCACTAATAATACCTATTGTATCTGTAGTGTATCTTTTTACAGTGAAAGATAGCATGTGCAGTGAGGCATCCTGGGAGTCAGACTGGAATGCGGATGTCTGCCTATGATGCCTGTTGAATCACAGCAGCATGGTTGTACAGCCAGGACGCTCTGTACCTGCATCCAGCGATCACCACGGTTCATGTTCTCATAACACATCTTCATCTTGATCCCACAGCGGGACACCAGCTCCTTCATGCCCTTCAGGAACTGGAAGTTGTCTCGGGTGCTGGGGGGGGACACAACAGGACAGCTGTGGGTGGGCTTCGGCCTGGCCACCTCTGACACCCCACTCTCACTGTGTGACCACACACGGCATGCCCAGGGGCTGTGTGACTGAGCCATCCGGGGCCATATTCTCAGAATTATTAATCCTCTTCACCAGCTTCAAATTGCTGCGATAAGGCGATTTGTACTATCACGATGGGACAGAACTCTGGATATACAACAAGGTGAGCTGCAATGTTAACAAGTGAAATAATTGCTGAAGTTATCGCAAGTTTTAAATGTAATGAGCACTCGCTCACTCTAGAAAGTGGTAGATAAGATCCACAGTACCAATATGAATGTTTACATTTTGGGGCATTTTGGAGATTGGTAACTATTTTTAGCCTTAGAATTAAGTAAGTAAAGACTGGCACTGTCAAGTAGGCAGCTGCGTCAGCATGCGTAGGCTGCAGAGGAACAGGTAAAGATTTATTCCACGCTGAAAGGAAAAGAAAAGAGACACAACATTTCGGCTGTGGAGCCTTCTTCAGGTGCCAAGACTGCTAAGATCCTCCTGCTTTGTTCTTTACTGCAGAGGTTAAGAGGAAAAGCTCCTGCCTAGAGTGAATGGATCTGGAGGATGGCTGAAGTTTGCACAAGCTCCTCATTTATAACCACAAGTTATTTTTTCATTACCCAGAATCCTTAATCCAAGAGAAAAAGCCGCAAGAAGAACGAGAGCTCATGCATTATGGAATTGCTTCGTACTCCTACTTGTGCAGCTACCCCTGCCACGTTTTTCTTCTAGATGAATTTTGTGAGCCGGAGAGCGCCCCTCTTACCTGCACACAAACACCTCCAAGGGCCTCAGGGTGTTTGGCGTCATGATCCAGGGCGCCACCCGGAACACCACCGTGTCTGTGAAGATGGGCGTCTCCGGGAAGCCCTGGCAGAATGTATCACATTACTAACTTTCTTCTTGCATTTGCATGTAATACAAACTGGTGGCCAGAACAAGTATAAAAGATCTGTGTACTAGAATGCATTGGAGTCATATCACCTAAGTTATTAATCAGTTCCAACTTCGAGGCTTGGTTTTCAGCATGAAATGAATGATATGATATCCTAGGTCAACACTTTGATTCCAAATTACTTTCTTGTACTAGTTTTACTTTGTCCCACATTTCAGCACTCGCCCAGACCCCATCCCATCATGTTTCATCCCAGGATTGAATTCGTTAGTGAGGATCCCAGGTGCAGCAGGACTGACCGGTGTGCTGGGCTCCAGGAGGCTGAGGTTGATCGTGACCAGGCCCGGGAAGTCCTCGTCGGGAAACCTGCGCCCCTCCACGAAAAACTCAGTCTCGGACGCACCCCCAGTGTACTTCACCACGTGGGAGAGCCTCTTCTGGCCGAGCACCAGGGGGTAGTTCAAAACAGACAGCGATTCTGGAGAGGGCAAGAGTATGCGAGTGAGTGACCGCTGGATTATCTGCACTTTCACTCTCCTACGTCAAAAAATGAACAGGCCCATTCGTTACCTAGTGCTGCATCGCCGCGCTACATCAGACATTTCCCAGAAACCTTCACCCCTCATGCAGTTCTCTGATTATTTGGTTAAGTGATGGCCGTGCTCTTGAAGTCTACATCTTGACATTTCTGCCACGGCTTGACACTTACTGTCTTTCTGGAACACGCCTATCTTGCCGGAATCACTCTGAGAGATGTGCAGGGTGATCTTGTATCCCTCTGGCAGTTCCGCTGGCCCGCTGGTCCGCAGTAGCATCTGAGACATGTCTGCCAAATCTGCCAAACATACACAGCCTTTACACACACGTTAAAAGCAAGTATTTTAATATCTTTCAGTCTGCTAAGCTATTTTGACTCAGAGTGATTCCCTTCACAGTCTCTTCCCTTGTGGTCTCGTTTACTTAGTGATTATTAGCATTGAACATTCTCCGTGAAGATCATCCTGCCAGTTCTTCGCAAGTTAACTAAAATGTGAAGTGATGGAAAAGACTGAAGAAGGCAAACGGTCGAAACACTTTTGATTAGCCTTGAAGGGATCTTCGCTGTGTCCTTTGACAGTTTGCCATTTTAACATATTTTGCCTTGTTAACAACTGCACTAAGTTAAATGGGCTAATGCATTATCATAAACATCCAATAGTGTTCTTATTTTGACAATTTAGTACTTGTAAGGTACAGTAGCAACAAGTAATATTAGGCAATTTTCTAGTACTCGTGAAGTCATAGGTTTTCATACGTTAAGTGTTAATGTGTAACAATAGGTGTCATTTCCACTGGCATTCCCATGAGTAATGAGAATTATGTGAAATTTTGCATTATAGCGTTTGAAGAAAGAAATGTCCTTAAACTGGGTGTTGGCTATACACCCATGCCTCAGTTTATGAACATTTGGTTTTACAAACTGATTTTGCTTAATTGAAGAGATTTTTCCTACAATGAAGGCACATCCTTTGCAGCTGAACTGATGTTACCATTCTCATAATTTGACCACATTTTCTTTGTTAATTAATTTACTAGGGTAAATAGGGTCTTTATTACAAACAAGTAATAGTGTTTCTACTTTGACAACCGAGTGCTTCGTTAAGATAAAAATAAGTAAGATTTGGTAATTTTATAGTTCTCAGGAATCAATTGGAAGGATTTATATGCAAAGTAATGTTAACTTCATTTTTGGTTTAAACATTTTCACCTTACGAACAGTTCTTGAGAAATTCTGTTCATTAATCGAAGGATGGGTGTATACATAATTTATATCAAATGGTTAGCTGCAATTCGGGCCCTGGCATTAGTGATCAGTTTCACCTGTCAAGTCTTCTTGCTCCTGTAGTGATTAATTGAGAAGCTGCTCTTGTCTTATTTCGTTATTAGCAGAGGTTTAGTGTTTTTAAACTGGGAAACAATCAGCACAGGGTAAGGTTGAAGGAAGTCAAAAGATATCACCAACATGAAAACAAAACAAAAAATCTACTACTACTGCCATTGCTCTTTGGCAACAGCAACCATTTGTACAAATTAAGCAATTATCTTACACTTTTACAAAAGAAATACAGTATACATTTCTCCACTTCTCCTGATCTACACAGCGCCATTTATTTTTTCCTTTAATAACACGTTTATAACACCATTGTTACCATGATTGAAAATCTCCCTCTGAGATCATAAAAAACACTAGGCACTGTTTCAGTGAGACCAAAGTCGGTTTATTTACTGAAGTTGTTCCAAAAGGTAAAGTAGAAGTTCAGAGGACGTGTGTGCACAGGTTTTTTTTAGCAAAGACACACCACTCCAGTGACACCATCAAACAGGGGCACCATGACTGGATGGACGTAGGGGACCACAGGGAGTGTGAGGTAGGTGACGCCAATGTAGTTAATTCAGCCTCCTTTCCCTCTGGGCTGTTCAGGCTCAGACAAGACGCAGACTGAATCCATGCCAGTGGCCCCAGCTGCAACTGCCACATAGTCAGGACAAATGGGCTTGGAGAGCTGGTCTTGGCCTGTGGGCTGTAAGCTTCACACTCCTAATGCAGAGGCCTTTTCATTCCTTCAGCCTGTATACACCCCTCTGACTACCTCCCCCCGTGTTCTTACACAACATATTAACAAGAGCGCAATTTCACTTCTGGAAAGGTGTCCAGTTTTCAGAAAGCGGATTTTAGAGTTAACAAAGACACTAGCCTACCTGAGCTTTTGGTTATTTTGTCGATTTCACAGTCTTGCCGTTTCTTATAAACCCACTCAGAGTCACAGTTGACGAGGAGGATGGCACCGTGTCCGTTGGGACCCCACTTCCAGGAGGCCTGGAGAGACACGCTCAGCCTGTCAGTGCCCTGCAGAGACGCCCCTGTGTGTCCCCTGAGCACCAGGGGCGTGGGCCCCTTCGGACCTCTGCTCACAGTGGGCGGAAAGTCCTTTTTAGGACAATTCCACCGTATGGCATGGCTGCCACTGCAAGCTTATCTAGAGATGTTAAACATTTACTGTACGTGGCAATGAGCAGAACACTGTGTCACAATGCCCATTCGCGTTTCTGATGAAAAGCATGAAAAGTGTCACTTTGAGCAAAGGTATTTACTGCATTGCCTGGCCAGACTCCACAGAGGATTTCAGTGAAGACCGGTTCACAGTTTCGGAAGTTTCGGGGTGTGGGGGTGAGTATGTATACAACTGGGAAGGCCTAATGTTCTACTGTGGTCAAATTTAGCGAGTAACCGATTTACAATGGAGTGAGCAGATTCCCAACGGTTTGTCTGAAAGGAAAAATAAGAGCCTTTATCACCCCGTCCATTATTTTAATACAGGCTTGCATTAGAGTGAACTAATGCATTTGCGTAACAGTCACGCTGACAACTGCTTTCCAGTAACCAACATGCCTCATGCTTTCACCTCCCTGTCATCTGAGAGCCTGGTAGCTTGACTAAGATCAGTTACAGCTGAGCTGGCCAGGGCTGTCTGTCAGGGGTGTTCTGTCTCAGTTATTCACTGAGCTGCTGTGGCACACTCATGTAAGCAAGCGCAGGGAGATAGTTCTAAATCCCGTCACTGCAGTCAAAATAGACTGTGATTTCTGGGGAAGTGACTCGTCTGTTTGGTAAGACAGCAGCCATGTGCTGCCTTGGGCATTAATGCTGCCCAGCACATTTCCTCTTTCTGCACTGGTATGTTGTAAATATAGTACCCTGTTGCATTAAGAAGAGCAGGCTTCACACAGAGATGAAACAACTGGGGGAAAACTTGAGACATGGGAAATGGGTGATGGACAAATCCATATTTATGCCAATTTTGGTAATATTGGGGAGGAGAGGGGTTCAGTACTAAATCTAGCAGGTTAAGGCAAGTTACAAGAATAGCGCGTATCAGAAGCCAGTCTGCTTGGTTCAAGTGGCTGTGTGGAAACCATACCTTGTGTGCGTTGTTCTTCTCCACGACACCATCGCGGTCCGCGTCCACGTCCAGGGAGATCTCTGCAGTGTGGGGAGGCGAGAGCTTAGAGGAGCTCACAAAGTTTCATCAGCCTCCTGCGCCCCCAACATACTCCCACCAAAAACAACAGCTGTACAACTCTGATCATCCCTCAGGTCTTTCCATTCCCTGTTCTGTTTCAGATAAGGGAGGACCGTGCTGAAAGTGCCCAAATCGAATATCAGTTCCT